CTAATGGTCCGTCCCTAATCCCTAATTGTACGAGCAACATCGCATGATTATAATCCTGAGAAAAATCATGCACACGCAATAGGCATTTCCAACTTTTAATTTATGCGCGCAGGGGGTGACGAGAAGTAAGGTATCATATTGCAGATTATGCTGAAAATTTTCAATAAAAGCTGCCGAAACAACTGAAATATACTTCAATATTTACAAGTATGAGCTATCACTCCGTGTTTACACGGCCACCATTTTTATTTTTTCAGCATAATCAGCAATATGATACCTCACTTTTCATCTCCCCCTGCACGCATAAACTAAAAGCTGGAATTGCCTATTGATATACAAAATAAAGTTTGACCCACCTCGTTTAAAAAAACGTCCTGAAGCAACAAAGGGGAGTGGATGGACTCTGGAGAAACCATAGCGCGTCAAGAATAGTGTGCTAGCAAATAGGTTGCATGATTATTCATGCTCCTATTTTCACGCATTGTTGGCTTCCTTTGATGTAAAAGGGAGATGTTCTTATAGGTGGTTTTGATGTTAATTATGTATTATCCAGCGCCTGTAGCTGCCGTATCATTACTACCAGCCTTGGCCTACATTTTGACAGTGTAAACAGACGTTGGCCTGACCTAGGCCAGGAAATCTGGGCTCACTAGCTACAACCGGTGGCCTATAGGCTTGTGGAAATGTAAACACTTTCGGCCCTGGCCTTATTTTCATGGCAACGTGTGCCCACAGTGAGAGATTAGCGGACAACCAGCGGACAACGTCACAACATATAAAAATATACAAAATTAATTGTATGATCCAAAGTGATCCAGTCTAAAAAAAACAGTGTAATTGTGTAAACGCGCCACATTTACCTTGGTCTGGCCAAGGCCAGGCCAAGGCTAGGCCATGGCTTGTAGTGTAAACACGACTTAGATTGCTCAGTTGCAGCACACAAAATATTTCGTTGACAGTTTATAGCGCTGAAGAAAGATTCGTAACCAGGATGAATCGGTCAATATTTGTGGTGTTTCTTTTGGTACTTGTTGTAGCTGACTTGAGGTAGGTTGTGATTTTGCAATTGCCAATTGAATTGTTTACTTGTCAAATTTCCTTTCGATCGGCAATATTTGAGTCGGGTCAATTTTCATTATTCCGCAAATAATCTCTTCTCAGAGCTACAAAGCCTGCTCTTGTGTGTTCTCGAGCAATCGTAAAAGCGCAGATTCCACAGACGAAACACCAATATATAGAGAGAATTTAATTTTTTCATATTAATAAAGATTGGGTGGGGTTTTAGTTGTTGAATGCCGCATGTATCTTGTCTCGTACAAGCTGGGAGAAAAGAACTCGTATTTTTTTATAGTTCTGCGTGGAGACGAAGACGCATGGGTTGGCCGGACAACAAAGATGCAAAAATCCCGAAGGAGATGAAGCTTCAAAGAGAACCAGAGTCAGTACAGAGTGCAAAGTAAGTTGAACTGTCATTCCTGACAAGAGGCAGCCTTAAATTTTACACTCTTATTTCAAAGAACTACGATGAAAGAAGACGGCTGTTAAATGTACCATGGTTCAAGAATACTGTGTAAGACAATTTACGATACCTTATGTAAAACGGACAGGCTCAAGTGTTCCTTCATATTATGGCCGCAGCATAGATCTTAAGACTTTTTCAAAATGTTAATAGCCATCCGCACGTTGTAACCAATAATCTATTGCAGTTGTAAAGCCATTGTGTCAAAACCGTGATAAGAGCTTTATTAGAGGGTCCTGAAGGGGGGAGGGGTCCCAATCCCATTTTCCAGCTGAAATGTTGGAAAAATCCCAGTCCCAGTTGGATTTTTATTAGAAATCCCAGTCCGAGTTATTGAAACTCCAGTCAATAAAAAGTTATTTATCGGTAGAATAAACAGTTTTAAGACATTTTAAGTCATCATGTGTGCGTACTGTGTGGCAGAAGCAGTTGTGCTTTGCCTTTGAGGTATATACTAAGGGTTAAATGAAGTATATACCGGAAACCAGGCATATATTCCGCTGTGTATCTGACTTGGGGACACGCATAATCAGAAAACCCAGAATTCCGGGCGCCAGAGTATGCCTGTTCGCAGGTAGTGCTGCGAATAATATAGTTACAATGAAAAATCATGACCAAAGACACCAAAAACGGATCAAAATTGTATTTTAAATACTTAAAACGTGGAAAAATTGGGAATCGACTCGCATTGCCTCAATTCCATTCCCATTTTTGAGGATTTCGTTTCCCATTCCCAGTGGCCAAATCCCAGTCCCAGCAACCCAAATCCCATTTTCCCAGACTAAAAATAGATAAATCCCAGTTCCCATTTTACCCCTTCAGGACCCTCTTATTAAACAATTAAATTATGGCTGCAGCATAGTTCTTAAGACCTTTTAAAAATTCAATATTAATAGTTGTAAATCATGTTAATATTTTAATATTTTGATTCTATAAATTTATATGCTTTTATCAAACAAATCATATGAACATAATCAGCTTCATATGAACAGCTCCTCCGGCAGAAGGCTCCCATTAATGGCTAACGTATTCGTATATATTCATATATATTTCAGCTCAGAGAACTCTGCACCTGCAATGTACAGCAAGATGAATGAAGACAGGTTGGACAACGACCTACACCATCAAGATAGCTTTGTTGAAGATGACAATGAACTTTAAAAACATTGCTATTGCACTCGATACATATCATTCACTGATATATATTTCGATATTACAACACTACATTACAATTATATGTAAAATGTATCAGCTTGGGTCGATTAATTGCCTTTATTGACAATCGATTAATCGAATCGAATCTTTAGTAATCGTTGTACTATACGCATTTTATTTTATATAAAATGAGTGTCGTTTACTCGGAAAAACTGTACTTATAAATGTTGTTAGGCGCATTTGTGAGAGCGGTTTTCCGATACTATTGTTCCCAGTAAACTGCGAAACGACCGTTTTTTTAGGCGCTTTGTCAGTGATGGTTTTGTCAATGGCAAAGGACATATTTGTGTACCACGCGATTACAATTCTTTGCAAGCGGCGTGTGAAAAACTGCAAGTTTCAGTTTGACATTTCTGGCAGTTGAATGGTTTATAATTTTATTGTCCAATCAGATGCGTAGTTTTGAATTTTAAATCGTCTCATTGGACAATAAAATTAGAAACCATTCAACTGCCATAACTGTCAAACTGAAACTTGCAGTTTTTCACACGCCGCTTGCAAAGAATTGTAATCGCGTGGTACACAAATATGTCCTTTGCAATTGACAAAACTGTCACTGACAAAGCGCCTAAAAAACGGTCGTTTCGCAGTTTATTGGGAACAATAGTATATCTCTATATTTCGTGGCGGCTTATACGGTGAAGAAGTTATATATATTTATTATATACACAAGGTCTGGATATGAGGTATTCTGCAATCTGATTGGTTCTCTACTAGCAGGATATTAGCTCATATCCTGCTAGTAGCAAAAAACAAAATGGCGGCTGAAACTGAATTTCCGACGTTTGCGAATGAGAAAACGGCAAGTTGTTCGCTTTTTATAGCCTTTACAGGATTAAAAACACAATGAAAAAACTCCCACAAATTGTTTACAGGTTAGCAAATGAATTTTTAAAATTTAAAATGGTTAAAAATATATATTTTTGAAAAAATAATCGGCCGAAAGAGCGAAGATAAAAACATAAACAAAATAGAAAAATATTGAAAATATCCGAAAAGCAAAGTCTGTGAATTCAGACCTTGTGTATATAATAAACCAGTTATTCCACTCACTCTCGTCGAATATGAGCGATAGCCGATTCGGCGCTACGCGCCTCATCGGCT